CAGCAGTAAAAGAGTCTGCAACAGTCTGCAACTGTCTATAGCAGTAAAAAGTCTGCAACAGTCTACAACAGTCTATAGCAGTAAAAGAGACTTCAACAGTCTGCAACAGTCTATAGCAGTCTACAACAGTCTGTAACTGTCTACAAGAGTCTATAGCAGTCTGAAACAGTCTACAACAGTCTATAGCAGTCTGCAACAGTCTATAGCAGTCTACAACAGTCTGCAACGGTCTATAGCAGTCTGCAACAGTTTATAGCAGTCTGCAACAGTTTGCAACAGTGTGCAACAGTCTAAAATAGTTTACAGCAGTAAAAGAGTCTGTAACAGTCTGCAACAGTCTAAAACAGTCTACAGCAGTAAAAGAGTCTGTACCAGTCTGCAACAGTCTACAAGAGTCTATAGCAGTCTGCAACAGTCTATAGCAGTCTGCAACAGTCTATAGCAGTCTACAACTGTCTATAGCAGTCTTCAATAGTCTGCAACAGTCTATAGCAGTCTACAACTGTCTGCAACAGTCTATAGCAGTCTACAACAGTCTGCAACTGTCTATAGCGGTCTACAACAGTCTGCAACTGTCTACAAGTCTACAGCAGTAAAATAGTCTGCAACAGTCTATTGGAGTCTGCAACAGTCTACAACAGTCTATAGCAGTCTGCAACAGTCTGCAACAGTCTATAGAAGTCTGCAATAGTCTACAACTGTCTAGCAGTCTACAACAGTCTGCAACTGTCTACAACAGTCTATAGCAGTCTGCAACGGCCTACAACAGTCTATAGCAGTCTGCAACAGTCTATAGCAGTCTACAACTGTCTGCAACAGTCTATAGCAGTCTGCAACAGCCTGCAACAGTCTCAAGCAGTCTGAAACAGTCTATAGCAGTCTGCAACAGCCTACAACAGTTTGCAACAGTCTAAAATAGTCTACAACAGTAAAATAGTGTAACAGTCTACAACAGTCAGAAACAGTCTACAACAGTATGCAATATGCTACAACAGTGTACAACAGTCTATAACACTCTACAGCATTCTACAACAGTCTGCAACAGTATACAAGAGTCTATAGCAGTCTGCAACAGCCTATAACAGTCTACAACTGTCTGCAACAGTCTACAGCAGTCTGCAACAGTCTAAAATAGTCTATAGCAGTAAAAGAGTCTGTAACAGTCTGCAACAGTCTGAAACAGTCTACAACAGTCTATAGCAGTCTACAACAGTTTGCAACTGTCTACAAGAGTCTATAGCAGTCTGCAACAGCCTACAACAGTCTAAAATAGTCTACAGCAGTAAAAGAGTCTATAACAGTCTTCAACAGTCTGAAACAATCTACAACAGTCAGAAACAGTCTACAACAGTCAGTCTAGTCTGCAACAGTCTATAGCAGTCTGCAATAGTCTACAACAGTCTGCAACAGTCTGAAACAGTCTACATAGATCTACAGAAGTCTGCAGCTGTCTATAACAGTCTACAGCAGTTTAAAATGACCTGCAGTAGTATACAATAGTCTACATTAGTCTATAACAGTGTACAGCCATCAACAATTGTCAACAACAGTCTACAGCAGTCTACAACCCTCTGAAACGTGTAGTATTTTCACTTTCTGCTACCTGATCTTTCATCCGAGCTCTCCGAGGTATAGTGATCTTCATGTCGACGTTTTTGAAAAATTCGGCATTCAGTTCCTCCTGCTCATCGACGCTCCTCACCGCCGTCTCCACTTTGCCACCCGAGGGTGCTGGAGAAGAGTGAGCGGAGTCAGCAGGTCGCGGGGACACGCTGTCCAGTCTGTTGACACTTGCTGTATTGGCATTGTTGGCCTCATCGTCCTCATCGCTGGAGAGAATGACTGAAGAGGAAACATTTTATAAACAATGGTTGTTTGACATTTTATATTGTTTTTATTTCATGGCACATCTGAACGTATAAAAAGATGCACTTCATTGTAATGTTGCTGGGGCCATTTCAAAACTCGCATCATGGATTAGTTAGCAGTGGGGGAGAAAATCTAAACTGTGATGAATAAAGCTGAAAATATATCCAGGTTGAAACATGAATGAATGAATGTACAGTTTATGTTGTCAGAAGTTAAATGTATCGGATCGGATCAGCGCCAGTGATACTAACCTTGTTTTTATTTAAACTGATACGAAAGTTTTCAGCGAGAAGCTAAAACAAACCAGGCCAGAAGAAATGTTCAGGGTCAGCAAGAAGCAGATCTGGACTGAAGCTTCTGAAACATCAGCTCTTAGCCTGTCCTCTGGTTCTGATCTTTTAAACTGGGTCACATGTCCAGTCTCAGGCATTTACCTGCTTCAATTATACTCACTGGGGTCGTTGAGCTCATGTTTCTGTGCTGCTGGCCTCCTCCCTTTGGTGGGGGTCCCGGTCTCGCAGTAGCTGGATGTCCCAGCTAACAGGGGGGTCCTGGTTCCAGGGCCATTGTCCAGAAGGGACAGGGTCCCCCTGCTGTTCAGGATCCGTACTGGCAGAGGTTCCCTCATAGCAGCACTGAGTTTGTAAATGTTCTGCTGGAGGCTGTTAGGTCCGGGGGAAGGTTGGGGCCTGATGGGGGCTCTGGGGGTCGGGGACGAGGATGTGGGCAGCCGACGGGGAAGCAGAAAGGTGCCGGTCCCACAGTTAAGACATTTGGTGCTGTCCCTGCTCGGCTTGTTGCACCTCCGGCACACCGCGTGGTAAACAATCGGCTGAACGAGCTGCTGGAGTGGGGGGGTGAGACAAAAACATTGGACATTTGACAGGTTTCTCATACCAGAAGGAGACATGTTCAAATAATGAAGTGTTTTCAGTGTCTTCACAGACGGTTCAGATCAGCCACAGAACCCTCTCAGCTCCACGTCGTCTCATTTAAAGGAACCAACTGTGCAGCTTGTGGAGTGGAACAGTTCACTGAAGAACTGCAGATGATTTTCACACTTGCAGCTCAAATTAAAGCAACTGAATGATCCCGAGTCAGCCAGGATCTCCTACAGAGCCGAGTGAAGACAGCGAGCGGTAACGCCAGAGACGACAGACCAAGCTTCACTGCTCTGTGCGGAGCTTTTATTTCTCTTCATGCCTGAGCAGTTTGATACTTTGAAACGTTACAGATTTATTTATTAACTTTAGTTTTTTACATTTGAAATCCCAACAACAAAGTTTGAGCAGGAAAACTCTGTCCCTGAGAACGCCTGCAGAGCTGCGACAGCTCAACTAACACCTGGCGTTTGTGCACACACTGTGAATTGTGGGAAACGAAGTCCCAGCCTCAGAGCTCACCTCCGTTACTTTGAGCTGAGAAGAAACGCAGACGTCCTCGAATGGTTTCCTCTTCTGCTGAACTCGCCGTTTAATGTTCAGAGTGTCCTCTGCTGAAAGGAGCAAAAACAAGAAGCTTCACTGAAATAGTTTCATCTCCTGCATTTGTTCTGAAGTGATGACGCAGAGCGAGAACATGAAATGATACTAAAACAATTAGAACCACCAGTAAAGAATTCAGACAAACGGGGTCCAAAAGGTTTTCTACGACAACAAAACCGTAAATCTTTAGGTGTCACGAGTAAAAAGATCATTCAGAACTGATCAAGTGTGTTTATTCAGAAATAAAAACATGCCAGACTCTGTGGTTCCACTTGACAAATGAATCATTTTTGTATCGGTGGGACGCAGGGCGCCAAACGTGGACCCTACCTGGAACCTCTGGACAGGTGAGGACGATGCTGTCCACTTCTACCACCTGCTCCGAGGACGACAGCTCGTTTCTGCACAACAACAAAATGTGCCTTTACACTTTAAAGAGGAAAACTACATAAAATACACATTGTGTTCAGAAAACATTTTTGTTTACATGTTTGTTTGTTTTTATTTGACAGAAGACATTAAACAAACAGCTGGAACACAGAAAGTACAAGAGTAAAAAAGTTGTTTTTTAATTTAAAAAATCATTTTCAAACTAACTGAAAAAGTGTTTTCATCCAAACTTATTAAGCTGATGAATAAATTTAGTTTTTTAGCAAACGATCAATTTGAATATTTCTGTGAATGTTCTGGGATAATTAAATATTTTCAGGGTTTGTTACAATAAAATTGATTTTCTTTTATGTTTTTATCATTAAAGCAGGAGCTCCTGCTGCCAGAGCAGAACAAATACAGTATTTAGGCTAAAAATATGAAAATTACTGCTGGACAGGAAAACTCCATTTGATCCCAGAACCAGAGAAGTTCTGACCTTTGGAGCGGTTTTCTGATGGCCAAGGGAAGCTGTGCGTGCTGAAAGTGTCGGCCCTGAATCACAATTCCTTGAGGAAGCGTCGGTCTGAAGATCATGTAGTTTGTCCTGGTGGACACGGGGGAGGACATCGGTGTTGAAAGCGGGACGTCTCTGTGGGACAAGGACATGAGAAGACAAGCAGAAAGACAATGTCCACGTCAGACTTCAGCTGATCAAGTCTCTCTTGTAAATGAGTCCTCAATGCTCAGTGGGATTTACCTGTAGAAATAAAGGCTGAATGAATGATCAAAGATTTACAGCAACGCATAGAAATGACTATTAATCAGTTATCAGACAAAAACAAAACAAGGTGCATGTATGTATGTATGTGTGTATATACAGATATATACACATATATACAGTATATATACACTATATATGTGTGTATATACAGTATATATACTGTATATATGTGTGTATATATACTGTATATATGTGTGTATATATA